GAAAGTGAAACTTTAACGATGCATAGTGCTTAAAGCCACGTTAAAATTAAATGTTTACGGCCACAAGCAGCTGTTAGAAAACATTGAGGGCTTTCTTGAAGCAAGGATAAAATAAAATTTAGTGTACTCATCCTAACAAAACGATAGCTTAAATGTACTTTATTCACTAAAATAAGTTTAATCTTACCATATCCAAAAACTCGCTCACTCTGCTGTTATTTAATAGATTAAATGCACTGGAATTTTATTGAATAGTACGTGGAGATAATTAAAATATTCATATTAATCAAGGATTTATTGACATTTAATGCACCTTATTTCAAAATGTACAGAAATACGTGCTTTCATATGTCCTTTAGATATGATTTCATTTATTGACTATACTATTTACTGTTAATGTCTCATTTCAGTTTTAGTTTGGCTCTAGTTTTGTATTTATTCCAGTTTATATGAAAAGGTTCATGTAGCGTGGGTTAAAATTCATATACCGAGTAAATCCTTTTCACTGAACGTGTTAAAATAAGTTTGAAAAAGTTGTCGGGAGCAGGTGGTGGTGACGCTGAAGGCGAGCGACCGTGGTGCTGTAGTTCGTTTATAGCCTAAGTTTAGCTTTTAAGTTCTGGCGCTTTTATTTAGGCTTCAAAATTCATCAAAGTTATATTATTTTGTGAAGATTATCTTGATGGACAAAACGTGTAAGTTTCATGAACAATGGTTGAACACAGCTTATTTTTTGCGATAATCCAAAAGCCTATGGAAAAATCCTATAGGCTTTTTGTCGAGGGAACCAGTGCGATGCTAACAGCCGATCCGCATACAAAGTTATTTTAAGTTATCTAAAGCAAATTAGCATATTAGAATGATTTTTGAAGAATCATGTGACACTGAAGACTAGAGTAACGGCTACTGGAAACTCATTTTTCCCATCACAGAAATAAATAAAATTTTAACGCATTTTAAAATAGAAAACATTTATTTTAAATTGTGATAATATTTCATTATATTACAGTTTTTACTGTATTTTTATCAAATAAATGCAGCCTTGGTAAACATAAGAGACTTTTTCACCCCAACTTCATCTAATTGCAAAAGCTATTTGTGTTATTATATTATATTATATTATATTATATTATATTATATTATATTATATTATATTATATTATATTAAAGTTGTAGTTGAGAGAAACTGAAGTCGGGTTGCGCATGGCACATTTCAGTGGTTGTCTTTTCCTGCTTGATTGTCACAATAAAGGCATCGATTTCACAAGCTACTCCAGTCAGATCAATCGCGTAGGCAGTTTTCGATGTGTGTTTACTCTACAGACTGCCAGATTAGATTATGTGCGCTCAGGTAGGGGGTGCGCTCGACTACGGGAAAAAAAACCCCTCTAGAAATCAATCCCTCATTGGCACGGCTTTCCGAAAGCGCTGATCTTGAGCATATGTCTTCTAATTACTCTGATGGGAGCTTGCTAATGGGCACAGAGCCGGCCTCGCGCTCACTGCGAATGCTCGTTAATGTCTCTGTCACAACGTAGATCCCCGGGCCCCGAGATCAAGGCTCGGGAGCGTGGACGGCCCCTAACCGCCTCTGCTTCCCCCCGCCAGTACATGAAACTGTCTCACTTCCCTGTCTAATTGCTTTCTAAATTATTAACCTCAATGAAAGGAGGACAGTGTCCCGTTTGACCCGCTTATATAGCTGAAGGTTTGGGAGCTGGTGCTTCATGAGAAATGTGTGAATGCATGCAAATTTAACCATCTGTGGAAGATTTGCCATTTGCACAGGTTATTACCGACTTTGACCTCTCGTATGAATTTATGCATTTTTTATTTTTTGTTTTATACACATAACTGAGAGACATCTCAGGTTTGTTTTGCTGAATTTGAAGCCGCAAAAAAGTGAAAAAGTGCACTCGGTTCTGACAAATTTAATTAGCTTGTGAATTAGGGTGAATTAATCGCAGCTGTGGGTGTGTGGTTGTATTGTGACGTCTCCGCAGGTAAGGAAAATGCCTGTTCGCAGCACTGCCGAAGACTGTGAGTAATTATGTTTGTTTTTTAATACCCTTGTTTTGGCGTAATTGCCAGTCCCAGCATGCCCACACACTCCTGCAAGAACAAATGTGATTTATTCATCAATTCAGTGGTAGAGGTTTACACATTACAAAGCATAAACAATTCCCTCATGGTATTGTTAATAATTCAGTAGGTTATACGTTAATAATAGATAAATTCTACTGTCTCTGTAAATAGCTTTTAAATGTCACATGCTCCGTTTTAAGGTGCCGTGTTTAACCAGCATGTATTTCATCACCTCAGTTGCCGGATCACCTGTGTGGAACGCTGTTTTCCATTAAATAGCCACTTGTTGAAAGTGTAAAGGCAAGCGGAGCATCTTTTTAAGGTTATTTTAAAATAATTTTGTTGGTGAAGCTGCTATTATCAGCAGCTTGTAGAGTGAAAACCTAAGGCAATTCTTTACAGTGTATATCACTTAAATAGTTTTTTACAGCGTGTTTTGTAGTAATATCACTTTTTTTGTGTGTAATTTTTTTACAGCGTGCAGTATATAACTTGTTGTTTTTACAGTTTTTAATTTTTAAAATATTTTATATTTTTTTAGTAATATCAATTTTTTTTGCAGTACAGCATAGTTTTTTACAGTGTATATTGTTTCAAAAGTTTTTTTTTTCGTAATATCGCTTTTTTACATTGTAATTTTCTACAGTGCATTTTGTTTTTACAGTTTATATCACTTACAGTTTTTTACAGTGTATTTTTATAGTGTATATCACATATTTCTCAGTTTACTGTAAAAAAAGTATTTAAGTGATATATATTAAAATACCTTGTGAAAAATCATATACACTATAAAAAATATCTTGGCAATATACACTGTAAAAATAAAAAAAAAATAAAAAAAGATTATTAAGAAAATACTATTTCAGTCTTTGTACTTCAAAATTCCATGCTTAATCCAGTGTGTTACTTGCCTGCTTCTCTCTCTCCCTTTTTTTTTTAATTTTTAATTTTTTTTTTAATGTTTGCGAAATTTACTAGAAGTTTACTGTTTCTGGGTGAAATTTGTTTCAATGTAAACCCTAAACCATTTTTTTAAACGCAGAACAGCATTTATTTGGTGCAAAAACAGTGAGAAACTCAATGAGAATAACATAATTGTATTTTAACCTATACATTTACATTAAATGCAACTATTACACCTGAAAACAAGGTTACTGTATGTAACTGAGAAAAGAATAGTATCAAGCATCAACTTAATATTTTTTCGATAAATAATATGAATCAATTAATCTTTTTTTTTTTAATCGATTAATTGAATGAACATTCAGAATTAACTGAATCATTAAAAATAAAGTTTTCCCAACTGTCACTGTTACTGGAAAAGCCGCACTATTTTGGAAACTGCAATTTTCCAAATGAAAAATGCAATTAAATTCATACTACTTTTAGTTACTTCCTCATTAGTTGCCTGTGACCTTGTGGTGTCTGAAGGACAGTCAAGCAGCTTTTGACATTGACCGCAGTGCATTGACCTTCTGGCTATTTGGGAATTTTGCTACAACAGTCTGGAGGTCAGCCTACTAAGATGTGACTTTACAAATGTGTCTCTCCTTCCGTGATAAATGTCCTAGATCAGGTTGATGACACTCAGACACACAGGGAGAAAGCTATTTATGGAGTATGCTAATGGAATATAGGGAATCACAACCCTACTTACACAGATATAGGTCTTTCCCCTCCCATCCCAAAATTTGGTAGCTCATCAGAAAGTGTTCCGAAATCCCATTGAATTGCTCAATGGTGTGTCCCGAAAACATCCCTTTGGGTGTGTAATTTATGTGGCCTGGATCATTGGCTCCTGTCAGAACTGTGTTGATTGTCTGGTGTCTGTTGGACTGTGATTATTTAATCAGGTTCAATGATGCAGAGGAAGCATCAGGATGTATGTTTATTTCTCTTTGGAAGTTATCAAAGTGACAGCTTCATGATTTTCCAACACACACTGATGATAAAAAAGGAACGTAAATGCCCACCTACATGCTTATGACTTGAACTCACCCATTCTTTCCAAATATCAGTTAGCTAGTTTAGAGTGTTTGGAGCGATTTTCTCATTTATTTTCTCTGTCTCTCTCTCTCTTGCTCGCTCACTTGTTCTCTTCCGCTCTTCCTCTTGAGCTCAGCCGAGTCAATCACAACATCATTTCAAGTGGATAGTTCATTAAGCAATGCAAATTGGAAAATGAAGTGAGCTCTTTAAAAAATGCCACCACAAGCACCTCTCCTGTCATCAGTGACAATCAGAATTTAAAGTTAATGCTAAAATAGTCTTTACTTGAAATGTATTTAGTCTATAAATGTTTGCATATTTTAACATTTACAGTCAAAATTGTAAATCAAGAGACAGGTTTAATCATATTTAAATTGGTTGCAAATAATTGTTGCAAACTGTCAGTAGGATGTTAATCACTGTTAAGACAATATGTTATAATTCCAGTTTTTGTATATATAAGTATGATGTAGAGTAGATTACCCCATTTGTATTTTTTTTAAAGGAAATTAATCCATTTATCCTGCAAAGACATTTAACATTTGACATTTAAAAGTCAGAGTAAAGACATTAATAATGTCACAAAAGATTTCTGTTTCAAATAAATGCTGTTTCTAAATTGATAATAATAATAAGTGTTTCTTGAGCACCAAATCAGCATATTAGAATGATTTCTGAAGGATCACTACTAAAAAAAAATCAGCGTTGCCATCACAGGAATAAATTGCATTTTAAAATATATAAAACAGAGATTTTTTTTTCAGATCATTAGTGTTTTTACTGCATTTTTTTTATAATAATAAAAAAAAACTTATTTCTAAAACATAAAATCTTAACAAACCTAAACTTTTTAATGAAAGTGTTATTTCTTCAGTGTTAAAATTCTTTCTCGACCATCCTGGCATAAAGTACTGTAGCAAATTTTCTCAACCGTTGGCATGAGTTTAGGGGTAACCTGTTTGAAATCAGTCATTATGTTTGCAATTGCATTTGATGATGCTAGTGGCACAGACATTACATTCTTAACCTTTTAAAGAAGAATAAAAAGACAAAGCCAGACGAATCAAGACCTAATGGGCTAATTTCTCCACAGCTTGCTCCATTTTGATTGATATGCATTTCAGTTCGGATTGGATTTGAGAAAAGTGTGTGGTTGACAGCAGTCTCTCTGCACAGTTCACAAAATTGATAGATTACCATGTCAGTATATTTTCTGTTCACATTTTGTCATTATGACAGCAGAATATACATGTGGTTTGTATTCACAATGTGTGCGGTTTTGAATCTGTTGCTGTTTCTTTCAGTATTTCTCTCACGCTTATAGACTATACTTCAAATCTAAGTTTCATTTCACTATCTGACCAGCATAAACCACAGTGTGTTTGTATCGACTTGAGTGTTGTGAGTAGTAGCGCATCTGTTTGTTTTGGCACTTTAGCAACACAGAAGAAGAAGGCTATCTGCTATCTATCTGCTGCTGAGGTGTTGCAATAGATAACTGTCTAACTGAGCCAATAGTTTTATACAGTATATGGTTGTAAAAAACACTTGTATTCGTTGTAACTGTTCAACTGGCCCCTGATGGACAAAATCACTGTGCTTGTGGTCCCCGTGTTGTTTGAGTTTGAGACCCCTGCTCTAGTGTGAAAGTGCCCTGAAAGAACAGTGTTTGAAAAGTAACAAACTAAAACTTGTAGGCCATAGTATATCAAGCTACTCTAAGAAAGGCAATAATAGCTGATTTTTGCAGTCCTGCACTCGGATCTGTAATTCCCTGAGCTTCCTCTCTCTCATCCATGAAGTCGCCTGAGGCCTCCTGCCTCATGTACGTTCTCCAGCTGACAGCTTGCAGATCCCATCTCTGCAATTCAGAATGGGATTCATTGCTCTTTGGAGCCACATAAAATCTGTATTGCAACCATAAAGAATTTTAGCACTTTCTTTCAGTGTTTTCATCCACCATTTAATTCAAAGAGGTGTACAATACTGCTGTACATTAGTCAGGTCAAAATCTCTCTTAAACAAAAGGTGCACTTGTGCACCTGCTAACTAGAGGTACAGTTACTTAATGTATTGTATACTTAATATATTGTTAAGCAAAATAATTGCATAAATAATAAACCCATCTTGTATATGTATGTAAAGAGGTGATTAATAATATCTATCTATCCATTCATCCATCCGTCTCTGTCTGTCTGTCGTTCTGTCATTCTATCATTCTGTCATTCCATCAAGCATTGTTTCATTCTGTCTATAATTCTATCTACAGTATCTATAATCACTGCTTCATACTGGTTATTTTCGACCTCATGCCAATGTCATGTCAGAAGTAATCTTTTGATGTTTTCAAACATTTGTTAATTTTCTAGAAATCTAATCTGTTTCCATGAGTCAGGATTGGCCTTAAGCATCAGTGTAGTTCATAGCTGCTTAGCAGTAACTTATTTTACACATGACTGGACATGATCTTGTCATCTTCTAAACCACTAGCTGCTCAGTCCTGATGAGTTCGCGACGCTGATCCGCAGGCGCTTTCTGAATGCCACAGCTATATCAATGCCTCTAATTATATTGTGTCTGTTGCTGTCACTGTCTCGCTGTTCCAGACGCAGATGAGACATGGTACCCTCACCTCTGTCAGCCTGATGTCCTCCCGTCATGTTCAGTGAGTGTTCCATAACATCGCTCCGCTTCATCAGAGCTTGTGTTGAGGTAATCAAGTAAGTATGCTATTCAGTACTAAGAGTTTCAAAATAGCATGATGCTTTTGAATCACGTCATCAATGAAGTAAATCTTCATCTCTCGCCTCTTTTGCATATGTGTGTGTCTGTGTTTGCATGGTTAAGCATCCAGTTATCTTTTTAGAAATAAAAATGTCTTCTTGAAAGTCAATATAAAGATCTTTTGGTTGATAATACACTACTTTCAAATGTTTGGGATTAAAAGAAATTAATAATTTTGTTCTGTAAGGAAAATGAAATTGAGCAAAAGTGACAGTAAAGGTGTTTATAATGTTACAAAGAATTATATTGCAAATAAATGCTTTCTTTTGCATTTTATATTTATCAAACAATCTTGAAAAAAATTGTTTCCACACATGACGATGTGACACTGAACCCTGCAGTAACAATTTATATTAATAATGATTTAGCTTTGCCCTCACAGCAATAAGTAAATTTTTTTAACAAAATATATTAAAATAGAAAAGTTATTTTAAATTGTAAAGATATTTCACAATATTATAGTTTTTACTGCATTTTTGATCAAAAAACAGTCTTGCTGAACAAGGAGACTTTCAAAAACATAAACCATACTGAACCCAAACTTTTTGAATGGTAGTGTATATTTTTTCTCATGAGATGAGAAACAAATGTTTCTCACAAACCCTGCAATAACTTAGTTTCCATTTTATCTGTCATAGAAAGAAATTCGAGCATTTATCGTTGCTCATTGCATGTGATTAGTGATTTGTCAAGCGTAATTTATTAAGCCCAATACTTGATTTTGCTCTGGCTTGTCAGTTTGGTTTGAAATCGTTTGTTTTTATTTGCCATTGTGTGCTAACAATATCACATGCTTGTCTTCGGTGACTGGATAATGCAGTATTTTTAGCAGTGAGTGGCAGAGACCAGAATTTCTGCACACGGTCGAACAAAAGCATTGAAAGAAGTGGCATCAAAAATCTGACAGGGGTCACATGCTAAATTTACACATCACACAGTATTACATAAATGTATTAAGACATCTTTTTCTCAGAAAGTAATGGTTGCATCTAGAGTGACGTGCACAGTGAATGTAATTTTTTAAAAACTATAATATATTTTAGAAAGTCAGTATTATATATGTAAGTTAGAGTGGCAAACCACAATGTACAGTACAGCTGCTACAGATTCCAGCTTTTTTTTTATATAAACTTTGATGGATGAAAAGCACCGAGGCAAAGACATTTATCGCACTCAGGAGCAGGAGAGGTCAGCGTGTGCAGTTATTCACTTTTTGACTTTTAGTGTTTGGACTCTCTCTCGCTTTCTCTCTTTTTGGCTCTTTGGTAACAGTTCCTCTGTGGCAGTAAAGAAATCGAAAACCGTGACTCACTGATAAGGAGCACAATTGGGGGCCAGTCTGTGGGCTGTCAGACGGAATGTACTGTCTGAAAAGACAAGAGAAAACGAGGGAAGGGCATGTCATGTTCCTCCAGAGTTTTTCAAACTTATCTGCAAGATTTTTGTCCCCAAGTGGCTCCTTAAAATGTAATTGTCCTATCTTGGGCTCTTTGTTCCTTAATAGCTTTATCCGAGAGGTTTGCTTAGTCAGCGTTTTTTTTTTGTAAATTTTATTTCCTAAAGAGTTGCTATACTTGCTTAATTCACACGTCTCAGTCAAATCTGAGATAATCAGATTCACTGGCTGTGTCCCAAACCGTAGTAATATACAATCCACATAGACAACTACCTTAAAAGGCAGCATCTTTAATGTGCTACCATGTGGTTGCTAGGCTTTGCCATGGCAAATTGCTGTTCTTTAATGTCTACAGTTGATACAAACACATTTTGACCATAGAATTTTAGGTTAAAAAAAGTATTTATTTTAATTATTTTCTAAACTGCATTATAAAATTCAATCACAATTTAATAAATTATTATTTCATTTAATAAATTATTTTTTAATTTAATTTAATTTATACTCTATTAATATATTATCTAATTTCAAGGTTTCAAGGTTTAAAAATGTGATGATACTTTTTATGATACCGTTGTTGCTAGATATTTGTAACAAACCAGTCCACTGAAGGCGAGCGTAGTGAGAACCCAAGTGCAGTTTTATTTACAGTGATCCAAACATCCAAACATAATCCAAACAAGATACACAGACTTGACTTGACTTGACGAGGCATGAACAGACTTGACTAGGCATGAACAGATCTGACGAGGCACAAACAGACTAGACTCACCGACAGCGGGTTACAACTTCAATACACGACCAGGGCACAATGGGAACATGAAGGCTACTTATAGCAGACAAGGAGGGTCACATGACATGAACAAACCAATGGGTAACAAGACACATGACTAAGACTACCAATCAGAACATGACACATACACAAGGCAGAGATACAAGGGAAGCATGACAATAACAGGGTGAAACAATTACAAAATAAAAGACATGAAAACATGAACATGAAACAAAACCCAAACACCACATTACATATCCCCCCCTCTAAGGGCGGCTCCAGACGCCCAAACAAAACCCAAAAAGTCCAGG